TTCCTGTTTTTCCTTATGTTCCAGGTGTATAGGAACTCTGTACACTATTCAGGTGATAATGGTTACCAATGTAAGAAATATGACTCTTCCAGTATTGAAGTGATTAGTATAATAAGGGAAATTAAGTTAAAGAAGCTAGATGTTATTCAAGAATTACAGCATTAAAACAATACTAATGCTACAAAAATGCTAATGCTGAAAATTCTAACCTCTGATGGTGGAGATAAATTATCTCCATTGGCCACATTTCTACGAAGACGACGAGATTCTGCAACGCGTGGTTGCTTGATCTGTGGCTTAACAGGTGTCGTCTCTAATGAAGTGTACCATGTCCCCGATGGCTCTAATTTTTGTTCTAACTCTTTTTTAGCTTTTTGAATATACTGATCGTAAGCCTAAAAATAAAACAATGTAAGTGAAATCAAAATAAGAGTAAATTCAAGTTATAATAAAATATTCACTTCAATCTGTTTTTGTAGAGATAATTCTCGTTCTTTTAACTGCTCACGATATATTCTTTTCTGTTCCTTTTTCAATCTGCTGACTTCTAACTGACGTCGCTTCAGTTCGTCACTTAATGCTAGAATGCGACCCTCTATATCGCTCTGATCTGAAGCAGTCTCTAAAATTTGTAAGTTCATGCAATTATTTTGAATAGTTGGGATAATACAGAAAATATATTTATAGTTTTCACTTACCAGACTGAGAAACTGTAAAAGAATCATCAGACCCACTCGAATCATGCCGATGATGCGTATGAGGAACTAAAGGAATCCGAATCATCGCAGGTGGTTTCTTATTCAGTCCCCTATATTTTTGCTTTGGTACTGTCCCATTTTGTAGTTGAGAATCAATATTTGAATGATCAGTTGATTCAAATGATTCAGAATAAATTTCTGTTTCTGATAATCTATTATAAACAAAAAAAAATAATCTTTTATGTATTATAAATCAAAATAAGTAATATAATTTTGTGTGGTAGTATATAACCTGCACTGGCATATACCCACAAAAACAATAGACTTATTATTATTGAATTACACAAAGTATTTCATAAGAAATTTATAGTAAAAAATTTTAAAAAAACATAGAAAGGTCAACTATAACAAGAAATTTAGATGTAATTATTACATGAGGTATTTGGTTATAATGTAATGAAATGCCTCAATATAATTACAGCAAGACATCAAAAATCCAGATTTGACCACAGAAAAATGAATATTAACCCTTTCAATAATAACTTTGTTGTTGCTGTTCTTTTGACCTTGCACTGACGTTCTAACATTCATTTGGAATTCTTAATTTTTTAATTTCAGAACTGTGATTAGCATATATTTTGGTTAGATATAGTGATTCTATAAATTACATTTTGAATATTTGTAAGTATTACTACATTCATTGCGGTGTGCTAAGTTCAAATACTGGTTTGAACTTAGCACACCTAAACTTGAATTACACTGTATTTACAATACTTAGAATGCTAATTTACACACACATTTTAGAATCCAGACGAGGTCTAGCTCTAATTAATCAAGTTTTTCAACACCTCACTGTATAACAAGAAATATGAATAGAGAAATCTTTGTAGAAGCATTGAGGAAATATTTATTTTTTGAATATGTAAATTTAATAGTAAATTTTTTTGTTAAATATCCACACATCATTTACATCAATTAAAAGATTAGTTTTAACAATTTCTAAAATTAACTCTATTTATTAGTTGATTAATTAATATTAGTTCTATTATTAAAAATTAATTATAATCAAAACGTTTCATACTGCTTTTTACTTTCAGTTGATATTTCTTCTTGTATATTACTTGAAATAATTTGGCTCTGATATTCTGATATAATTACATCTTCAGCAACAGAACTTTCACTCTCACTTTTTCCTCTGTTATTATTTCCTTGACTTTCAATAGACGATCCTGGTGACACTTCAACATCAGTTTGTATAGAGCTCTTTGAGCTTTGTTCAGTTTTTATACTATTTGTAGTTTTCTTATCTTCGTGCAAACCTGGTATAAAAGCATAAAAATATTTTTAATTTGATGCCAATTAATATTAATAAAAGCTATAACAAAAACTTACTCTTTGATATAGAACTTGAACTCTTTTGTTTCTTTTCCATTTCAAATAATTTTTTTTCAATTCCACGAATTTCGTTTTCTTCGGCATCTAATTTTTGTTTCCAAATAAGTAAATTTTCTACTTCTTGTCTTCTTTCCAACAATTTTTGTTCACGTTTTGTTAGATACCTTTAACATAACATTAACTAAATGGATAAATATTTTTAAAATAATTGAAGATCTGAGAATTGAAATTGGATAAGGATCAAAACAAATTTTATCTAAAATGTCTGTAAAAAATCTGATATTTTAATAGATATTTCATGTTATAACATCTAATATGAAATAAATTTAACTTTTAACTCAAAAAAATCTTGGTGACTGGGAAGAGAAGAGAGAGTAGTGTGACTGAGGTATGAAGACACATTTTCCCACCTAATAATCAAGTGAGATTTCAATTTATACATTACAAACTTTGCAACTTAATTTATCATCTTTTTTTCATAGTATGCTCATCAGCATAATTTGTTTAAAGTTTCCTCAAATTTTGAATATCCAAGTTTTTATACTTGCAATAAAATGGGCTTAATAATTTATAGATTATCTTGATAATTACAGTTATTTATGTACCTCACCCAAAAATAGGTGTATTTTAATCTGATAGAAATAAAACATATTTATCATTTAAAATAATGAATTTTTCTATCAGATGCAGATGCAAACAAACTAGTGAAAATTTTGATAAATTTATTGGAAAATAAATATTTTTTCTTTCTAAATTGTAAGTTACTTTTAAATTATAACTAATTTTAATCTGTTATTTGATTTGATTATCAAATTTAGTTACAAACTTGATAATCAAATCAGTAAACATTATCCACTTAAGCTTCTCAGTTCTTCAATTGTTTAGAATCTCAGATCTAAATTACATATTTGATTAAAATATTTACATATAAATTATGTTATTTTTGATGACAAAGTATAAAATACCTTTTACTATTTTCCAGTTTTTTGAATCGCTGCAACAATGATTCTAATGACTGATTTGAATGTTTACACGACTGAATATCGGTACTGACGTGACTATTACTAGATTTACTGGAAATTTTTGATTTCACACCTTCCATGTTTTTATTTGCAGAATCTAAGCATTGAATAATTTTAATTGTATGTAACAAATACTTGTTTATGTAAAATATTTTTAACTGTTATTATTAAGCTCAATAAAACCATACCTGATGATGAGTAAACTGAAGATATTACAGAAGGAATTTCAGAATGACTATCAGAATCAACCTGAAATGTTAATGTTTTGTAATCTTTATTATAATCTNAAAGCTGTTTTTCTTTGAAAATCTCACTCCTGAAGGCCCTAAACAATGCTCTGTCATAAGTGCACATTGCTGTGAACTCCTTCAACAAGCAAGTCATTCCTGCCTTACAAGAACTTTAAGGCAGGAACGACTTGCAGGCAATGTTTACAGACTACTGTCTACATGCAAGATGGAGCAGCTCCCACATTGCACAAGTCAAGGAAGGAATTGCTTTGGGCTAATTTTGGCAAGCATCGTGTAATATCCAGAGCTTTTCAGGATACCTGGCCTCCTCCTTCACCGGACTTGAACCCTTGTGATTTCTGGTTATGGGGATTCCTAAAAGATCGTGTTTATGGAGGAAGGATTAGAACTCTGTCTGAATTGAAAGCCAGCATTACATGCCATGTTGCTGAAATTTCCAGAGACTTTCTTCACACTACCATTGAACATGATGTAATGTGCTTTGAACACATTTCACTTGGTAGTCGAATTTTGAACTATTTTTTTATTGCAGAAATCTCTTTCCCATGGTCTATATACCAAGTTTCATCAAAATCTGATAAGCATAACAGCTCTAGAGGGGTCTGAATAGGGTCGGTTTAATTGTAACCAGCCTGTATTTTAAAGTAATTGAATTATCTCTTAAAATATAGAATACCATATATAGTGTAACATTTAGGATGAAAATTAAACAAAGAAAAGTGAAGAACATAATGAAACTGACATCAAGTGACACACATTGTGGAAATCAAATCTAAGTTATAATTTATTTTGTTGGTGGATGTTCCTGTATGCTATATCTAATTCACTTTATCAGTTTTTATCTTTTATTCATATCAAATGTTACAATATATAAAAACACTTACCTGGTTTAAAAGAACGGGTTCAAAAGAACTAGTCATTTCAGCTTTTTCAATTTCAAGATCAGTAGTAATTTCCCAATTATTATCTTCTAAGTTGTCTAATAATGGAGACAAAATCATTAGATCTTGGGGTCTAGATTTTGATTGAACCGATTTTCTGTCATTTAAAGTGGCTAAAATTCGAGTCACTTTCTCTGTAATATCCGAAACATCTTTCTTCACATTTTTTGATTCTGATGCACTTATGTTAATGTCCTTTTTTTCTCTGGTAATTTGCAACATACAATCGACAGAATCTTCAATTAGGTATTCTGACAGATTTTCAGAAATAAAGTCTGAAGGCTTCTTTTTGCTTTTATCTACGATTTCTGTGGATGAATTTTCACTATTAGATATAATTTTTTGATTTAAAGTACGAGTTTTGATTGTATCAACGGTATCTGTGTAAAGCCACTGAAAGATATTTTCTGTGATATCATCCACCAGATTCTCTTTTTTTATTTTTTTATCATCAAGTGATTGAGCACTTATTTCTGCATTTGATTTCTGCGTTTCATCTTTTTTATTGCCACTTTTATTTGATGAATCAGTAATTGTTTCTGTGCTTCTAGAGCTTTTTTCACTAGATAATGTTTCAGCTGCTTCCGATAGAACCTCTAAATCTTCAGAAATATTTAAATCATTTTCAGTATTATCATTTTCTTGAGCAGTATTTGTAGTCTCTTGTATCACAGTATTCTTAATTTCGGATTGTGTCAATCCACTTTTTTCAGACAAATCAATGTGCTCTTCGATATCATCGCTATTTTCTTTCAGTGATTCCTTACTAATTTCATCTTGTGATATTTCTGAACTTATTAAAGAAGCTGAAGGAGTCAAACTATGATCCTCATTTTCACCAGAAATAATTTTTGATGTATTCTCTTCTGAACTCTGTGACCCAAGAGTCTTTTTATCTGTAAATAAAAAGTCAGTATTACATATACATATATTAAATCTTAATATTTCTTTGTGGACATATGCTAGCTGCATAAAATCAAAATAAATTTAAATATTAATTTGATTATTAATTGCCGAAATCCATTTCTAGACACTTTTAGTAATACTGGTTTTACTCAAATAATCCGTGCACTTATTCTAAGAAAATCACTACAAAAAGTCAGATTGTGCAGTTTATTCAAAACAAATTTGGTGACACAACTCGGAAGA